AAGAACAAAAGCAAATGCGCACAAGAGAAGTGCGCCTTTAACCCTTTATAAAACTTTTTGAGCTGCTAAAGAAAGCTCTCTAGTATGTATAAAGTCGCAATTCTTCAGGGTCACTCATTTTTTTTTAAATGATTTTATAAATCAAAACTGTTTTCAATATCCTACTTTTTAGATAAACTCTCAATGAAATAAACACTAGTTCCAATAAAAGCAACAGCAGGAATACAAATAACTCAGGCAAATGGGCCAATTAAACAATGATTCTCTGTGTTTACATGAAAAGCACTGGATAAATACTATGCAACACCTACTGCTTGTTTCTCTAATAATTATTTTACTGTGTCAACCATTATTTTTCCTGAGTCTCTAAGTCTAACACTGGAAATATCCATTGAGAATTCTTGTCAAACATTTTCTCAACTATTTTCCACCATTGTGCTTAAAAAATGTAGGCCCTGACTATTTCACTCTTTGGTGACTCCTTTGTAAATGAAAGGCTGCTGATAGTGAAATATTCTTTATGCAGGCGTCTGACAGTTACATACTACCCTTATTACCAAGGATGGAGAAGTAAAAGTAATGCTTACCCTAGTAGTCACAAAGAACAGCCCTACTTCCCTTTATTTAGACTTCCACTTTTTAGGTTGTTGAAAAGCAAGGGTTCTGATATGAGAACATAATATTTAGAGATGGAGGGGATCTTTGGGATCAGCTAATCACATCCCTTCATTTCACAGATGAGGAAACTGAGGCCCAGACAGGTGAAGTGACCTGGCCAAATCTATATAAGGTAGCAAATACCAGAACCAGAAATCAAACCCAAGTCTGATTCCAAAGTCTGTTTAATCTGAATCTTCCTAGGAAGGAAAAGGAATAATAATTAACAGCAGCTAATTCAGGCAAATGACTTGTTTCCTCATCAGTACAATTAAAGGATTGGCTGGAGTAGATTACCTCTAATATCTCTTCCAGATTTAAATCTAGTAAACCCACAAGGATTCCACACAAACGCAAAGACAGGTTAAAGATAAGAAGTAAATATAGATAACCTCTTAACTAGAGAAACAGGGAACAGCAATCTGGTCTATTCCTTTCCCACAGTACTTATCACCTCAGGCTAGGACAACTGAAATAGCCTCCTACTTACCTCAAACTAAACAAGAATGAAATTAATCATCAGTTCACAGGATTTAAAATTGTTAAGGAGTCTTAGAGATCAACTAGTTACTCCCTCTTTTACAGAGAAAGAGACAATTGTTAAGATAGAAAGAAATATAAAAAGTTATTTGGACGATACAGCTAAAATATGAGAATATCAGTACCTATTTAGGAATGGAGTGTACCAAACCAAGGGATAAGACTAAATTTGACTAGAATCCTGCAAATCTAATTTTAAAAAAAATCAGAAAACTGACAAGAGAGAACTGCCTAAGAAAATCCACCAAGCTAGATACCTTAGACCAAGACTTTAAACCTTTTTTGTGTCATGGACCCCTTTGGCATTCTGGTGAAGTCTATGGATGGACCCCTTCAAAAATAATGCTTTTAAAAATACATTAAATAAAACGCATAGGATTACAAAAGCTAACAATATATTGAAATACAGGTCTCAAAATATTTTTTAAAACCAGTTCACAGACTCCAGGCATTTATTTGGAATACTTATAGGATTTAGAGCTGGAAAAGATATCAGAAATTATCTAGTCTAACCAACCCTTTCCAAACCTATTTATCTAGCCCTCATCTTTTCTCCTGACCTTCAGTGTTATACCTCCAACTGCCTACTGGACATCTCAAACTGGATATCCTACTGACATCTTAAATCAACATGTCCAAAGCTCAACTCTTATCCTAATTAAAAAAGAGGACGGGGGTTAAAAAAGAAAAATATTATGCTAAGCACCAAGGATACAATAAAAAAAGACAACAGTCCCTGCTCTCAATCTTAAATTGCATTGAGAGGGGAAAGGAGTTATAAATTTAGAACTAGACTGAGGTCACATAAAACCCCCTCATTTTATAGATGAAGAAACTGAGGACCAAATAATTTGCCCAAGCTCACAAATGTCAGTATGGGTTTAAATACTTACTCAGGTCCTCAGAATCCAAATACAATGTTCTCTCATTTCCAACTGCAGAAATGATTATAGAAGAATCATCAACCCTGCTACCGTCTGCCTTTTCCCACCAGAAACAGACAAAACAGGGCCTCACCAATACAAGTACCTAGGCATCTTGCCATGCCCTGACACCACCACTCTCCATCGCTGCTTTTCACTTCTTGCTCAGAGAACAATAATCAAATCAACATTTCCATTACTACCAGAAAAGACAATCTACCATCATATGACACCACTGATAATCTCCTGAGACTGCTTAGACTAAAACTCTTTCTGGAACCATTCACACAACAGTAGAATGTAAGCTCCTTGAGGTAAGGGATCATCTCACTTTGTATCTGTTATCTCTAGTACCTATCATAGTTGCTGGCTTATATGAATGGATGGAAAAGGAATTTATTAAGCACTTATGACGTGCAAAGTGCTAGGGATACAAATAAAAAAGCAAGACAGTTCTTGCTCTCAAAGGGTTCACATTCTAATGGGGGAAACAATACACATGTAAGGTCTCAGCTGCAGGTCAGATAGAAAAGTCCCACGGTCCTTGGGAAGCAGTGGCAAAGCATACATTACTGCTTCTTTTTTAATGCAGTAGGCACTTAATAAATGCTTGTTGGCTGATTGAGGTAAAGGCCCAGAATAAATCAGGAGAGGAGACAAACAAATGAATCAGGACTAAAACGTACTAGGGTTCCTCATATAGTCCTTCCACCTTCCATGTACTTAACAAGATAGATACCCTTAGAGGTCCCCTCAAAAAAGTATTTAAGTATTTTTCCCCAAAAATAACTAAAAACAAAACCGACAAAACCTTATTTTTTTAGACATGCATTGTATTCACAAAGCAGTTGTGACAGCAGAAACCCACATGATGCCGGAGTCTAAATTATTTGGTTAAAGTAAAAATAGTTACTACTTCCTTTCCCACAACCTTCCCCATATAGCCAAAAATTGGTCAAATTTACCATCAATTCCCGAGAAGTTGCATTGGGAAACCAATGATTTCAAAGTTATTAATTTGGATAGAGCGCTGGGCCTGGAGTCAGGAAGACCCGAATTCAAATCCATCTGAGACACTTTATTAGCTCTATGACACTGGGCAAATCACTTAACCCTGTTTGCCTCAATTTCCTCATCTGTAAAATGAGCTGGAGAAAGAAATGGCAAACCACTCTAGTATCTTTGCCAGGAAAACACCAAATACGGTCATGAAGAGTTGGACACAATTGAAACAACAAGAAAAATTATTGTTTTGCAAAATGATGTATACTAATTAAAGTTACTATTCATATTTTAGCCCCTATGTTCAAACAAGTTTCATAGAAATATTCTTTTGTAGAAGCCTATCGGCTGCCCTCCAATAACATACTCTTACCAAGGTTAGAAAAGACTCTGGATTCTCAAAGACTGCTTCTGGACTGCAAGTTCTGGCAAGACCTACACCAAAATGCAAAGTATTACAGCTCTGGAGATGAGAGTGCGTCTGTGATTTGAAGACAACCCTATGTAAATGAAGACAGGCATCATAAGGTTGGATGCCAGGTGAAGAATGCATTTGGCCATAGCAGCCCATGAAAACATTTATGGCATGAAGAGGTTTGTGCTAATGATAACAGCAGATTATATTTCCATAGCACACTGAGATTTACTAAGTCCTTTTCTTACAATAATCCTGGTAAACAGGTATAACAATTGAGATGGATTACTTTTTTAGAGACTTGAGTTACTTTTCAGTAATGTGGATGAAGCTGTACCAAATAACATATACTCTCTCACCTCAACTCACAAATGGTATGCATTGCTTACCCATCTAAGAAGGTTAGTCTGTGATCAGAGCCAACCTTAGCTCATATCCTAGCCCTGTACCTAATCAATCAGAACTTCTACTAATCCTGGGCAGGATAAGGCAAGGAAAGCATGGATGGATCTGACATCAGGATACCTACTTTTCTTTTTCTTTTTTTTTTGTTGCAGAAACTTTATATCCATTTATCCATCAACGTTTTTAAGCTCTACTTGTACATTCATATTAAACATATTTTCACATTAGTCATAATGTAAAGAAGAATTAGAACAAATGGAAGGAACCACGAGAAAGAAATAAAACAAAGCAAGAAAAAGAGAGCAAATAGTATGCTTCCATCTGCATTCAGACTCCTAAGTTCTTTCTCTGGATGAGGATAGCATTTTCCATCATGACTCTTTTGGAACTGTCTTAGATCCCTGCATTGCTGAGAAGAGCTAAGTCTATCAAAGTCAGTCATTGTACAATGTGGCTGTTACTATGTACAATGTTCTCCTGGTTCTGCTCATTTCACTCTGCATCAGTTCATGTAAGTCTTTCCAGGTTTCTGAAGTCCGCCTGCTCATCATTTCTTACAATATAATAGTATCCCATTACATTCATATACCAAAACTTTTTTAGTCATTCCCTAATTGATGGACATCCCCTCAATTTCTACTTCTTTGCAACAGCAAAAAGGACTGCTATCAATATTTTTGTGCATGTGAGTCCTTTTCCCATTTTTATGATCTCTTTGGGATATAGACCTAGAAGCAGTATTGCTCAGTCAAATGGTATGCAGTTTTATAGCCCTTTGGGCATAGTTCCAAATTGTTCTCCAGAATGGTTTGATCAGTTCACAACTCCACCAACAATGTATTAGTGTTCCAATTTTCCCACATCTTCTCCAACATTTATCATTTTCCTGTTTTGTCATGTTAGCCAATCTGACAGGTGTGATGTGGTACCTCAGAGTTGTTTTGATTTGCATTTCTCTAATCAATGATAGCTACTTTTCTATTACATATGTTTCTACTAGACTATGAACTCCTTGAAGAAAGGCACCATGTCTTACTTAAACTTTGTATCTCTTCTAGTACCCAGCACTCACAACTTGATGTTTGAAGTCAAAGTCTCCTAATGGTAAGGAAAGGCTAGAGAGGTAGCAAACAAGGGGGAGGACCTATCCAGACCTTCTCTTTTTGACATCCCAGTCACTTGACAAAGTTAGCAAAGAGCCATGCATTTTTTTGGTCTGGGGTTTTGTTTTTTTGGGGTTTTTTTTGGGGGGGGCAGGGGCTGGGACTGATGTGAAAGAGGTAAAGATGTTAACAGTACATATGGTGATCATCACATTCTAATTCCAAACTTATCAAAGTCTCTTTGGACACTTGCAAGATTCTGGAGTCCCACTAAGTGGATTCCAACCCTAAACAAATATCACACTTCATCCTTAAATTTTCTCAGAAATGTAGACAACATATGCTACTTACAATATACACAAGGGAGTGGAGGACATTCAATTAGAGCAAGACACTCTCAAAAATGCTATCCATGGATTCACGTTGACTTTTCCAATAAATCAAACAAGATTCATTAACAGTACCATAACCTTACAGCCACACAGCACTTTATAGTTTCAGAGAGATTTTTTTCCTGTTACTAAATTTAGCCCTAGTCAGAATTTACCCAGGGGGTAAATAAGGGGTCCAACATTTTAGAACAGGAGTAAAAATCCTAAACTCCTCAAAGCCAAGCAACAAAAAACAAAGGACAGTGAGGAAAGGTTTTTAAAAGATCCTCTGGCCAAATTCTTAACTTTCTCTTCTGTAAACTAGGGACAATCAAACCCAGATCCCTTCCAGTTATAACATTTTATGAGTTTAGCTTGAGGAGGGAATAGTAAGGAAATTTCTTTTTCCAGTACACAAAAGCAACGATCAGTTGTTTCCTCTATGTTCCCTGACAAAAACAGACAAACTGCTGAGAGATTTAAGTTAGGTATATGAACAAATAATTCAATTAACAAAATATTAGATGCTGTAAAGATTCTGTTGAAAATCCTTTCCTGGAAATTTTTAACAATAGCAGAGCCTACCTAAACCCTAAGATGATTTAGATACAGGCTTATCTTACTACAGTGAAGAGGATCAAACACCTCTTCAACTCTCTTCATACCCCACAACTATGAATTCTTAATCCAAAACTCTAGCCACAAACACACATACACACACACACATAATATAAAACATAAACATGCCATATATAACTCATACACTGGGACAAGACATGTAATAGCAATCTCATTTTAAACTTAGAGATCATATTCTTAGTAGTAAAACTTCATTTCCTTACTCTAGACACAACATAAAAGTTTATACACTTTCATGGACTTACTGAGCAGTACCCGGCAGTGCTCTCCCCAGCATATTTATCTAGAAAGGTCAAAAATCTCCCTGACTTGGGAATTTTTTACATTCCCCACCCTAAAGTTCAGCAGAAACTTAGGCTCAAACAAGAAAAAACTGGGGGGGGGGGACCCAAGCATATTATTTCTTTTTTTAGCCAGATTTATGATTTCATCCATGTAGACAGCTCCCAATGGGAACTCTTCCTAATGCAGACAAGCATCTGCTACGTAGCACATAGTCTTAAAGAGATGCCTAGGGTCAACTGGCTTGCCAGGACCATGCAGTCACAGTAGGTAAAGGAGATAGGACTCAAACCTAGGTCTTCCTGACTCTACTACATAACACTGCACCTCTGATATTCATACAGATCTGGGCAATGATGATGGAAAAGTAAAAATTATGAACTGATTTGGCTTCACAGCCATACTCATTATAATGGTAAGCTAAAGATGTTTGTTTCTATTTAGAGTGAAACTGTGAGACTACGCCACGCAACAAGTCTGTCTTAAACATGAGCAACAAGTTTTTGTACCTGATCCAGTTTACCACAGAGCACCATGAAAGTCTAGTGCCAATCTCACAGTGGTATAATGTCTATAAACGATGATCTGCTATGAGGCAGACTTGTGAACACATCCATAAGAAGGGCTTGGAGAGCTGAGCAATATTATGTGCTACATAAGAGATAACACCATAACATCTTCAACTTCAACATGCCAATGTAATAAACTATGATGGAATGCTGAGATGTCACCAACTGGCTTAGAGAGGTGATAAGACTCAACGCCAGTGGCAAGTATACACACATACTAGACTTTAGCCAATTTGTTCTTCTACAAATTTAAAGGGGTTAAGTGAGATCTCTCTGGTCCCTCCAAGATCAGATTCTATGACTTTAAGAGACAATCTGAAAATACAAGGTGTCTCTTTGAAAAGGAACCACCATTTACTTTTTGTTTCTTTCCATTCAAAGGCTATAAAATAGAAAGCCTTTCTGCAAAAGTCCTACCCATTCTATTGTTCCCTAAGTCCATTCAGTCTAAGCCAAATGGAAGCTAAAAACACTTTTCAAAGACAGAGAAGGTACAAGTCCTGCAAAAGTTCCATCTTCTTCCCCTTCCTGCTTCTGGACAGCTCAATCAGTGCCCCAGAGAAAAAAACAGGAACGGCTTCTCACAAAGGTGTTGGAGAAAAATGATGCAAGAAACAATAATCATAATCATAAAATTTTGCAGCTGAAGAAAGACTTAGTGGTTATCTAAATATAATTCTTATTTTACATGAGATAAAAATGAAAAATTATTATGATTATTATAGCTAGTATTTATATAGCATCTACTATGTGCTAGGCACCCTGATTATATAAATAATATCTTTATAAATAATATACATAATATCTCATATATTTATATATAAATAATATCTCATTTTATAAATAATATCTTTATAAATATCTTATTGTATCCTCGCAACCCTGGGAGGTTATTATCATCTCCATTTCACAGATGAGGAAACTGAGAAAGAGGTTAAATGACTTGCCCAAGGTCACACAGCTAATAAGTATTTGAGGCCACATATGAACTCAAGTCTTTCTAAAACGTAGAGAAGTGACTGTTTTCAAAATAAGTTATTTAAGGGGCAGCTAGGTGGTTCAGCGGATAGAGTACCGCCCCTGAAGTCAGGAGGACCTGAGTTCAAATGTGGCCTCAGACCATACACTTGACACTTACTAGCTGTGTGACCCTGGGCAAGTTACTTAACCCCAATGACCTTAAAAAAAAAAAAGGTAAGTTATTCAATAATAATAAAGCCATGATTAAAACCCAGGTGTTTGGATTCTCTGCCCAATGTTCTGTCCATTTCTCCCACAACATTCTTAATAAAAAGAGAGAAGTTAGGAAAAACAAAGAAAAAATAATGTTCTTTCTAATTCTAAATCCTACTATACTATAAAGGAAAGGAGTGAAGAAAAATGAGAAATAGAGGAAAACAGGGAAAGTAGAAGAAAAATTTAGGGATAAAAAAAGGGAGAAATCAGACAAAAAGAATGAACAGAATAAAAAAAATTAAGTTGCAAAGAAAGAGGGAATGGAAGACAGGTGTCAAGGAAAACCATATGTTACCAAAGTTAGGCCAACTGCTTAACACTGGGCTGTGAGCATTGCTGTCAAAGAAGATTTTCATTTCTCTTCTGTCCATGCCCAATCCAAGCAGCCATCTCCCAACTCTACAATTTTCTTGAAGTTAAAAGCTAAAACGTGTTACAACTTAGGTTTCCTGGAGGACTGGTTTGACCAGAATTGTATATCCATTTTGCTCCAGAAAACTGGGAGTCAGAGAGTTGAAGAATCTCCAAGGCTTCGATCTGTTTTTGTTTGAGAAGCAATATATTGTACAAGAAGGACTGTTAGACTTTAAGATACTAAACAAATGTCTTGTATATGATCTAAGGAGTAAACTCCAAGCCAGGATGCACAGGCTCTAGTATGGGCAATGCCACTAGCTCTTTGAGTGACCGTGGACAAATCACTTAACATCTATGAGCCTCAGTTTCCTCATCCAGAAAATGGAAAAAATATTTATGGTACCTTCACCTCAAAGAGTTGCTGAGTACAACAAAAAAGAACAAAAAGGGATGATGTAAAGCACATTTTGTAAACCTTAAACCCCTATATGAATGCAAACTATTATTACTAAGGTTTTTTCCTCTCCCCTTGAGGCAGTTAAGATGGCACAGTGTATATAGAACACTTGGTCCAGAGCAGGGGTGAGGAACCTGTGACCTGGAAGCTACATGTGGCCTCTAGCATCAGGAAGTCCTGAATACAAATCCAGTTTAGATACTTACTAGCCCTCTGACCCTGGACAAGTCATTTAACACTCAGTTTCCTCAACTGTAAAATGGGGATAATAATAGCACCTACCCTTGTGTTGTTGTGAGACTCAAATAAGAAAATATAAAGCACCCAGCTCGGTGTCTGGCACATGGCAGACACTTAATAAATGTTTGCTTCCTTCCTTCCTTCCCCAAACCAACTTTTGTGACCTAAGAAAACTGCTAATATTTGTTCCCTATGACTAGGGGTCCTCTTATAGAAAATGAAGACAATGAAATGGTCCATATGTCAGCTTTGGGCCTTAGAAAGGGAATCATTACAATATAAAAACTGAAGTTGTAATTGCTTCCCAACATTTTTACCATAAAATGTACAGGACAGTACAACTTATTGGGCAAGAGGAGAAAAAATACTAACAAGATGGTGTACTCTAAGCCTATAAGATGCTCCTAAAAATGAACCCCTCACAAACATTCCTCCCACACCCAGAGGCTATTGCTATCACCTATATGAAATTACCCAAGACAATATTTGAAAGCAGTTCCCCAAAGAAATATCATTAATCAATGACAGCAAACAGGCCAAAACACAAGTTATGATTAGCCATTTTTCAGCAAACAAGTAGTCTCTCTACGAAGAGCTACACATTCAAATTCAAGTGAATAAAATACCTAGTAGTGTTTAAAATAAAACATCTTTTAAAGGAAAAAGATATAGATATATGCTGAAAAATAACACCACTGATAGGTTGCACTTGACTTTATACAAGCCAGATCTGAGGAAAAGGTACCACCTATACTCAGATCAATATGGTAGCTCAGTGGATCACAATCAATTTTTACACAGCTATATAGACCAGCCATCATCCAACAATTTTTAAGCCAAAGTTAATCATTCTTTAAGTAGTCTTCCTTCATTTCTGGCTCATGTTTTCTCTTCTCACTCATCTAGTAAAAGTGACCTATAACCCCTAACTACAAAGCTAGATCAGAAAGAGTACAGGCCTAGAATCACAGCAAGAGTAAAAGGAAGAGTATGGTCACCTTTGCCAGTTTACAGTGGAGAGAATACACCATCTACTAGCACAGCCTCTTCAAGAGGACCTCTGTCAAAGAAATTAAGTAATTACTTATTGAACTACTATGTGAAAGGCAAGAAAGTTTTAAGGAATACTCTTAAAATACCCTAATCAGCACCTACCTACATAACTATAAGAAAATCATAGTGAAGTTAAGCCCAAATTTCAATTATTATGTTTTTTGCTTTGCAAAGATACAAAGATACACACTTTTAAAAACACAAAAACTGGGGCAGCTAGATGATGCAGTGGATAGAGGTCCGGCCTTGGAATCAGGACGACCTGAACTCAAATCTGATCTCAGACACTTGACACTTACTAGCTGTGTGACCCTGGGCAAGTCACTTAACTCCAACTGCCACACACACACACACACACACACACACACAAATTTTTAAATTAAAAAAAAAGACCAAATGAGGGAATAAGTATAAACAAAGATGAAACAAAATTATTCTGGGCAGTAGATATAACACTGGCCCTGGAGTCATAAGGACCTGAGTTCAAATCAGATCTCAGACACTTGACACTTACTAGCTGTGTGACCCTAGGCAAGTCACTTAACCCCAATTGCCTCAACAACAACAAAAAAAAATCAAAACCACAAAAACTTCTTCCAAAGTGAATTCTCATAAAATAGTTGTGATTGAGTAACTACTTCCTTTCCTTAGAGGTTTGCTTTCTAGATTTAGACTACAGATATGCTGACAAGTGTTTTCCAAATAAAACATTTAGTTCAACAAGCAGCTACTTTTGAGTCCATTCAAACCATATAAATATTTCCCCTTCAGTGGGGTATTTTCACTAGCAAATACTTACAGTCAAAATGGCAATGGTATTGAGCAGTTAGTACAGCTAAATAATCTTGCAAGTATTTCTACATGCTCCCTACCATCTCCTAGCTCACAGGGGACCAAAACTGACCAGCTTCCCTTTTTTGCAAAGTACCTTAGGGGCTTTTCAAGAGATGTGATAAAAATCCAAAAACATTTCCAGGTTTGATGATTTCCAAAACAGGTTACTTAAGAAAAATTCACCAGCAATCAGGACACAATGAGTCTATATTGTCCACCTTGGCTGCACTACATATCACCAGTAAAGGAAGTACAATGAATAGATGGCAAAGCAGAGGTGAAAGAGCATTAAAGTCAATTTCCAGCTGCCTTTTTCTTGGTTACGTGACCTGGCTGCTCCCCATGAAAATTAGATGTAGCAGATCAAAATAAGAGTACAGATGACTTTCCCCCTTCTTTCCTGATTCCCACCCCCCCTTTCTTTAAACCATCCTGTATTCATTTTGCATATATTGTATATTCACTTATATATGCATAGGATACAAAATCAAGGGCAGTGACTGTTTCACTTTTATTTTTGTATACCTAGTGCCTGGTATATAGCAAGTGTTTAAGAAATGTAAGTTCATTGACTGGGTTTAGAGTGAAGGGACGTGGACTCAAGTATCACCTCTTGCACTTAATTGTGTGACCTTGGAAAATCTCTTCTTGTATCTGGGCCTCAGTTTCCTCATCTGCAAAATGACAGGGTTAGATTTGGTCTGTATAGTTTCTTCTAGCTATAGATTCTATGAAACACTTCTGGAACCAGGAAGACTATGGCTGTTAATGATACCGCTATTATATAAATCAAATATTCTGGTAACTCCTCCCTGCCAGCCTCTGCCCCCCAAATGATGGTGGTATATTTGTCACCTAAGAAGCTGAAACCAATGTTCATATCTCAAGACTGTTCTGCTCAGAAAAAAGAAAAATGATAATTGTTGGAGAGACTATGGGAAAACAGGCACTTCAAAACATTGTTGGTGGAGCTGTAAATTAGTACAGCCATTCTGGAAGGCAATCTGAAACCATCCCCAAGTTGCTATATTGTGCATGCCCTATGACCCAGCGATAAACCCCAAAGACATCAACAAAGAGGAAAAGGGACCATATGTACAAAAATATTTATAGCAGCTCTTTCTTACGGTGGCAAAGAACTAGAAACTAAAAAGGATTCCCATCAATTGGGGAACTGAACAAACTATGTTACATAACTATAATGGAAAATTACTGAGCCTTAAGAAATGACAAATGAGAGTTTCAGAGAAAGTAACCTGGGAAGACTTGTATGAA